CACCTTAACCTTGTACCTCTCTCTAAGACCTAATAAGAAGTATTTATAGGTATAACAAACCCTAAAGTATTCGGCCAAATTGAATTTTTAAATGGCAGCCCATGTGTTTTAGTTGGAATGAATCTTTTGAAACCAAGAAAGCTTCTTGAAGTTGAATGCAACTAAAACTCTTAAAAAGAACTCTCATAGATTATATCTTATCTTCTAGATCATAACCATATTTTTCCTAAGATGTAGCAACTTAAAGAATATATTAAAGAACCCAAAAACCAAATCTTGCATACTAAGAATATAGGTTCGATGAAGATGTACTGACCTTTTAAAAATCATCTTCAAATTACTGGTTCCTAAACTTTTCAATTGCGTGTACAACTTGGTCTTGAATCTTGGAGAAAAAATAAAATTTTTCTTAAAAAAAAAAACACTTGCTTTTGTTGCCCATAAAGAATGGTCTTTTTATAACCCATGCAAATCCTAGTTCAAGTAGGATTAGGAATATCAAATCCTAATAAGAATAGGAAACCTAAATCCAAGTAGAAAAAATAAATAGAATTGCCACCTTGTCCATTTGTTATCCCATGTATGTGCACTTATATAAGCTACCATGAACTTGCATTTACTTGAAATTACAATTCTACCCTTCATTATAGCCAAAATTACCTACTTTGATTCTTGTATGAATTTTCTCCATTTTTTTATCAAGATTCACAATTCCAACTCTACTAAACTTAGCAAAACTAATCTTAACCATATTTCCCATTCTTTCTTTCCAATATTTCCAAGAAAATCAAGAGTTAGCTAGAACATGACAAGAACATATGGAGAATCATTCTTATGCATCAAGAATCATCCAAAATTGATTAAGAATTATCAAGATTCTTCAATATTCAACAAAATTTACTCTTTTCTTCAAGATTTCCTACAAAACAGAAAATTAAGCACATTATGAGTAATTTACACCTCATTTAGCTAAACACTAAGCAAAAATCACTCAATTAAGCACTAAAAACAAGTTTAAATATCTCTAATCGATAGAGTTATCAATTACCCAAAAGTAAAAAGAAAAATTACAAAGAAACTAAGTAAAACTGTAAAAAGAAGAATAATAAAAAATGAGGGAGAAGAGTGGGATAGGATATATTACAAGTGAGAATGCCTAGCCTATTTATAATTTTAGGTTCGGCCAATAGGGGATAAGCCTAAATAGGTCTACTTAAAGAGACAACATGTCATCTTTATCTTGATAGAAGTTGGCCAGATGTAGGAATTTTCAAGGATAAGATAGAGCTTGTGTTGGCAAAATGGGATTCTTTCATTCATCTTACATGCTTATATGTCTTCCATGTCAACCTGATATTGAATTCAAAAGCATATTTAGTTAAGGTAATTCCGAGACAAACTCTTCTTAGATTAGGTTTACTTGATTTCAAACTCTTGGTTAAAAATTCATAGAGTCCTTGTTACACAATAATTCTAACCTTAGCCTTCTTTGAGGTATTTTTCTTGGAGTAAAACTCATTTAAGATAAACAAAAAGTCCTCTTACAACTATAAATCCTCTTTTGGTCAAACAATGCACAATCTTTCCTTGGCTATTTGGGTTTGACTATATCACTTTATACATGGCCAAATGTTACATGGTTTATGCATGCCACCTTCTTGTATGGTTTGCATGGTATTCTTGTCCACATTGACCTAAACCCTAAAAATAAAGATTTCACACATTAAAAGCACAAAATTTAAGAAAATTTTCAAAATTTCAAAGTAAAATGAACTTATAAAAACTATAAATTTGACAGTCATCACTCATTAATCCATAAATTCTGCATCTATATGCATAAACATGTTAACAATGGTATGAATTTGATGGTAACAAAATAAAATCAAACTTTATAAGCATTATATACACAATGGTTAAATTATGGGCAAAACAAAAAAATGCATTCATAATAACTTAACTTCTGTTAAATAAAAGTTGACCCCAAAAGAATAAATAAATAAAATATGATAAATAGAGAGTTACAAGATTTGTTGTCATAGAAAAAATATCAACAAATGTATCCTGTTAAGGAAAAAAGTTCATATATGAATAAAAAACCAAGAAAATTAGGAGTTGCTGTCTGCAGCCAACTTGAGCTGTTGAACATCCATTTGTTAAGCCATGGGGGAAGATTTAGTTGCCAAGTCAAGAGACTCTAGGTGCTAACTGGCATGAAGAGCGCTAAAATGGATCCTTGAGTAAGCTGCAGGAAGAAGCGTTAATTGCTGCCAAGTTACTGCCCGATTTACTCCAAAATTACGGATCATCCTCTCCAATTTTGCACACAATGTACCTACCAACTCAGCTACTTATTTGTCACCAAATGAGGCTGCATGGTTCCTGCAGGAAGGAAAAGGGATAGCTAGCAAGCAACCCTTGTAGGCAGCAGCTTATTCATTCCATGCATCCTCACACTGAACTGTACCTTACACCATGCAGCTCACTTAATTTAGCTATGTTGCTTGCTTTGTTTCATGGCTTTAAGGGAAAAAGAAGGCTTGAGAAGCAACTTATCAAATCAGTTCATGGTTTGGCTGCCTCATTCATTGAACATCAAAGGTAAAGCAACAGCTTATCTATCACGGCTTAACAGTCTTTCCTCCATTATTCAGCTCTCTTGAAAGTCACTTGGGCAGCAACATCCTCATTCACGCAGCAATAAGCTTGGCAGCAGGTAGCATCGTTTCAGCAGGAAACAGCTGGCTTTCTTCCCTCCTCATGCAGAAAATGGGCATCTCATTTTGATCTTCAAAGTCAGCTAATAGGTGCTCTCAATTTGGAGAATATTCGGGTATAACCAGTGGAGGTCACAGCTGGATTATTAAGTCTCCAAAGTTAACTAATGACTAGGCATTTTTTTGGCCAAGTAAGAAGCCACGTCAGAAGCTTCATTCGCTAGTAAATTTGTGGATAGTTTTAGGTTGTACACAACCTCACATGGAGCAGCCAGCTTGTTCCTTTTCTTTCTCCCATAAATGTATAACATGTAGCTGCTTGCTTGCTAGCTGTCCCTCTCCTTTTCATGCAGAAACCATGCAGCCTCATTTGGTGACAAATAAGTAGCTGAGTTGGCAGGTGCATTGTGTTCAAAATCGAAGAGGATGATCCGTAATTTTGGAGTAAATCGGGTAGTAAATTGGCACTCAAACATCCAATTCAATGCTCTTCATGCCAGTCAGTACCTAGTGTCTCTCGGCTTGGCAACTAAAACTTCCCCTATGGCTAAACAAATGGATGTTCAACAGCTCAAGTTGGCTATGGACAGCAACTCCTCGAGGCTCAGCCATTGCTTGCATGTTGCTTGTCCACGGAGCTGATATTTAATCTTCTAATTTCACTTGCACAATAGACTGTAAAAATAAATTAGGTGGAAATTTAATTAAATTGCTAGATTCATGCAAAAATTAATCAAATAAGTAACAAAATTAATTAAATAAGTCCTATGATAATTTTATAAAAAATAAAATTATCAATGGTCTTTCATTATATTACACTTTGGAAAGAATTCTTTAAGTTTTCTCGATCAATCTTATAGAATTCTTAACAAATTATTCTCACACCTCAAAAGTATTTAAGAATCCTATTCATTTTTTTTAATAAGCTCCATTTTTTGATTTACTAAATGTTTTATGAGAAAATGTTAAATAATCTATCTCTATTTGTTAAAAATTTTTATTTATTTTATTAAAAATAAATCTAGATATTACAATTTGAAGAAAATTTAAAAATCTTTTCACAGTTAGAAATTTCTTAAAAAATCTTCCATTTATGATTATTAAAAATTTCATCCTAAAATTTAATCTTATTTACTCTTGAAAAGTTACATGGTACTCTTATTCTTTAGCCTGAAAATAAATGCCAATTAGCATTGTTGAAATCTTATCTGAATTTTTTTTCATCATTTTGATCAAATTTAAAAAAAGATTTCTCACTTAAAATTTTTTTAATAAATCAATTATTCATAATTTTCTTAAAATTTCATCTTGTGATAATTGTCCTATACTTTCAAAAATTTTATAAAGTTATATTTTATTTTTATTTTTTTAATGTTAAAATTTTATCTAAAATTTTACACAATTTGAATCAATTTTAGAAAAACTTCTCACTTAATTTTTAAAAAAACCAGTTATTTGTAATTTTTAAAAATTTTATTCTTGGATAACAATCACTTACTTTCTAAAGTAGGGAAATTACATTTTACTGTTATATTTTTTTATTGAAACCAAATGTCAAATACTATTATTGAAATTTTATCAAAATTTTTTTACCGTTTGGATCACATTTAAAAAGACTTTTCATTTAAAAGTTTCTTTAAAATTCCACTATTTGTGATTTCTAAATTTATATCTTTAGAATAATTGTCATTTACTTTCAAAATTTTATTAAATTACATGATTATAATACAAAGTAATAAAACAATTCAACTTATTAATGATTTAAATTAATTTTTTGACGAATCTATAATTTTATTTGTATGTCAATAAACATATCCTAATTTAGAAATGTAAATAAATACAAAAACTTGCAAGTATAAATAAAAAAACTAAAAAAAAAAAGTAAAAAATAAGGTTGACAATGATTCGGGTTGAGTAGGGACAGATTTTTGTTTGTTCCGAATCCGACCTAATTTTATAATCATAAAAATCGAGTCCGACTCGATTTGAAAATTTTTTTATTTTTTATTTTATATTCGAACTTGATCCGACTTAAAATTAATAAAATATTATTTTTTAAATATAAAATATTATTTTTTAAATATAAATATATAAATATATATAAATAAATTAAATAAATAATTTTTAAAATTAATTTTTATATAATATCCGATAAAATCGGACCGAGTTTGCTTTTTAAATTCGATTCGATCTCAAATTTTTTTTTTTTTACGTTATCCCACCCAATCCAAAATCTGATTTTACAAAAAAAAAACCAATTTTATGAAATTGGGATGAGTCAAAATCCGTCAAAGATGTGTTAGGTACCAATCCTGGTAAAAAGATCAAAATAAGAAGAGAAAATAAAAAACAAAGGCTACCCACGGGCTAAAACGCGGGTCATTCCTCGGGTCAAGAAAATCTGGTCACTCACTCTCCTCGAATAGCATCGTTTCCTTTTGAATATAGACGTTCCTTTCGAGTTTTTTTAATTTTCAAATTCTATTCTTTCTGTACTTCTCTCTGTCTTTGTAAACTCTCTCCAATCCTCTGCTGGCAGCCACCGATTTTTCAGAATCCGATGAGACATAGCCATCGCCTCCACCGATGCCGTCGTTGGCCGCCACTTGCCTACGTCGCTTCATCCCCAATTTCAACGTCGGGTTCCTCTCAGCACCCTTTTCAACTTTTTCAACTTAGTTTTCTAAAAAACCTTAGAGACTCAGTAGATCTAAGCTCAGATTTTTTAAAAACCCCTCTCTGATCCGTCGTTTTTTCGCCGTTTTACACCAATCAAATCCTAAGTCAGTCTCCTCAGAACCTTTTCTTTTTCCTCTAACTTTCAGCTAGGTTGAAATCTACCAAAGATAGCTTTAAAACCCACGGGCAAATTAAAGAAAAAATAAAAAAGCTACCTCATGAGGCGTCGCTTAAACAAATCCGAGAGAGCTCTTTCCCCTAGTCTTCTTTCTACCTGACGGACCGAGACCCAAAAGTTTTTCTACACGATCGCAATCGCAATCCGTGGTGGTCTCCCTGGATATTACTTGCTTAAATTCTTGCCAAATTGTGAATTTTTTTTGTTGGTTCTTGTTCAATTTGGTGTTGATTGCTCTTTGCTGAATGGTTGCTGAATTATGAATGAACTGTTGTTGTAGATTCTGTCAAATTGTGGCTTGATGGTTGTTGATTATGAAGCTGTTGATGAGATTCTATGTAATTGTGTGTTATTAAATTTACCTCTTTTTGGGACAGTGCTTTGGAATTGCTTGCTAGGTTGTTCTGTGTTTGTGCTGGTAATTGCTTGATTGTTGATTCCATTGTGCCTCTGTTTTGAAAACCCAGTAACCCCCAAGAATTCCCTAAAGACCGAACTCTCAATCCCTGTTTTGTTGATTTTCCTTTCCCGATGTTGATCTCTGTATGCTGATTTATTGTGTATGATTGTTGATTTTGATGGATTGTTTGTGACCAGGTACTGACTGATTGGATAATGGTTTAGACTGAATCGGTAGTGGTTCTACACTGGTCGATGATCGTAATGGGGTATTGAGGTGTGGTGGTTGAAGTATGGTGAGGAGGGTGGTTTCACACTACTGTGTTGCCGGCTACCTACTTTAAATGCTTTTCTCCAAGGCCCAAGAACTCCCTAAAGTTGAACCCTCGGTCCCCTGTTTTACTTCTTTTTTAATAGCTCCTTTTGCTCGATCGTTCTTGTGGATTATGTAAGGAATGAATTCCAATCCAAATATAACTCTAGCTCAAAACGTATTAAGTTCTTGTCGCGTTAGAGTTCTTTATCTTCAAATCATCTCAATCCAAACTTGTTTCGAGTTTCTCCATAAGTTCCTAATATTTTTTATCCAATTCCGGTTAATTTTTTAATTTTTTAAGTTTTTAATTTTATTAATTATTTTTGCTTTTTGAAAAAATGAAAAGAAATATAATAAAAATAAGAGATATTAAAAAGAAATTAAAATAAAAATAATAAAAAAAATAAATTAATATTAGATTTATAACCCAATTAAATCCAAAGCTCAATTAAACAATTATAACCCAAAAAAATTTTAAAAGCCCATAATTTTAATAATGGTCCGAAATTTTGAAAATGGATTGTGGGGCTTAAAACATTTAAAAAGATTTGCGTCCATTTTTTTTGTAATTCTCGTACCTAAACCTTATTTCACATTGGTTTTCCTCTCATTGTATCATATTGGATATAATCTTTGTGAGGTTACTTAATTCGTGAAACCTTTGTTCACATATTTGAAATTGTAAGTTCAAAGGATATTGACGCCTTTAAGTAATTTGGTGAAAATTTGGATAGGACCGTTAAAGGTTAAAATGAATTTGTGAGTAATTAAGAGGTGTGGTATATTTTTGAAAATATTTTTTAATTTAGGTGAGAAATTCACAGTTTGATTATGAGAGTTGAAAAAAATATATATTAGTAGATTTGACAATTTGTATCATCGAGTCGTGTTTTGAGTCAAACACAATTTTATACATGACACAAATATGACAAAAATATTTAAATGACACAAATAATTTAAATACAAATATGTCTCGTTTATTATACGTATGACATGCGACATGATACAATTAACATATTTAAAATTAATTTATACCAAAATAACACAACATAACATAATACGACACGACATGCTTAACACAATTTTATATGAATAATACAATTAGACAGATTAATCCATTTATTTAAACAAAAAATATCATTTAAATTAGTATTTAAACAAAAAAATTATTTAAAAATTAAAAATTTATAATTTATTTAAACACCAAAATGATATGATAAATACGATTATGTATTTATTTTTTAAATAAATTAAAATAAAATTTAAAATTTTTTATGTTGTAAACAATATCGTATCTTAAGTGTATCATTACTGTTTGACACGAATAATGTTATGTCTTAAACGTATTAACACAATTAAGACACGAAACACGATTACACTAAATTTATATATAATTTTTTTCATATCCTTTTCATATCATATTATCATGTCGTATTAAAAATTGTCAGATCTATACATAAGACTTGCAAGGTGATTGTTAGTGTTACGCATGAAATTAATTAACACTAAAACGCAAGTATATGCGGTCAACAAGTAATAAAGTATAAGTCAAGATCGTTCCATAGAGATTTGTATTAATTTTATTAAGTACTTGTGATAACGTGCAAGTCCAAAAACTTGATTACTAGATACAAAATTAAGGTTACTCTTAATATTATTTATTTAAATGTGATTTGTAATCTAATTAATCAATGTTTTTAAAGATATATTAAACTTAATTAAAGGTCCATAAGAATAGATTCTAAGAGTTTGATTACGTGTAGAAAAAATAATAGCACCCCACAACGCTTATCCTAAAATAGTACTAACTAATTTTAAATTATCCTAAAATGGTGTTTTCATTCTTAATTAAACTTTAATATTGAAAAGAATATTTAGGTTTTCTTTTCCATTATTCTAGTTGAATTTTGAATTTTTTTTTCAATTCAAGAGTAGTTAAAAATCTCATTTATTTTTTTAAAGAATTATTTGTCAGATTTATTTTCTATCACTTTTAATTTTTCTCACTCTTCATTTTTTTTGCTTGAAAATAAATGTAAATTATTAGTATTGAAATTTTTATTTGGCTTAATTTAGAAAAAAAACTTCTCACTTAAAAAATTTTGAGAAAATCAACATTTGTGATTTTTAAAAGAATTCATCATTATATAATTTTCATTTATATTTTAAAAATGTTTAAAATATTACAACTTTTTGTTATTATTTTTACTTGAAATAAATGTTAATTATTTTATTAAAATTTTTGTCTCAATTTTTCATCAATTTGTTCAAATTAAAAAAAATTCTCACTTATAAATTCTTAGAAAATCAATCATGTGTTATATTTTAAGAATTTCATCATTGCATAATTTTTATTTATTTTCAAAAATTTCTTATAAAAAATTACATTATAAAAATACAAGAAAATACAATAAATTTTAATTTATTAATTATTATCTAACCCATATATTTAATTTTTATTTACCTATTAAATAATTAAAACACATTCCTAATTTAAGAATTTAAATAAATAAACAAACAAACAAAATAATTACAAAAATAAATTAAATAAACACCACAAGTAAAAAAATAGAACTGATATATACAAGTTGGGTTGAGGGATGGGTTTTATGCAGGTCAAATGCAGCACATTCAAATTCTTTTAGCCTTAAAATGATGCAATTTCTCATTAATATAAACCCAAAATCGATTTTTCTTATTCATCTTCTTTTTTCTTTGTCCTTTTCTTTTTTCTTTCTTTTCCTTTTAAATGAGATGACATTGGCGTCGAAAACACTAATCAAACCTAGAAACTGGCCGGCTTCCATTATCATCATCACCATTGACCACTACTGTCCATTGTTGACCACGATAAAAGCAAAAAAAAAGTTTCTTTTTTCAATTCCTCATGATCTCTCCTTATATTTTTTCAAACCAAATTTTTAGAATCTTTCACAATGTTATAGATTTAAATCCCAAAAAGTTATGCTTCCACCAAAAAACAACCCCTTCTCCATCGTTTTCTTACTTTGAAAGCTTAAACATAAATCCCGTTCCTTTCACTAACCTAGCAACCTAAAATGCCCTAAAATCAACCAACCCGAAATCCAAAAACTCACTGCACACTATTTACATATATATATTTGTTTTATGCTTTTATGTGCTTTGTATTGGCTTTCCACATTGTGCTTTTTTATGTATTTGTTGCTTTTTGAAATAATGTCTTTTTTTAATTCCTCGATAGATTGTTCTATGCTTGTGTTGATTATTATCGATATCTTTATGGCTAAGATTACACTTGTATTTTTTTTCTTTGGCCAAAGAAAAAATTCATTTCTTGAGCAATGTTTATAATATTTGTTTTACATTTTCATTTCACTAGTTGAGAATATGAGATCTTGTAGCAAAAACTCTATCTACAACTATATTTCTTCACTCTTGTTTTAATGTGGAGCTGGTAAACCAATGAGGATGGGGGTTGCTTGAGCCAACCTAAGCTACCCATCCCCATTCTTAACTATGTTGCCACCTAGTTCGCAACTTTATTAACTTGTCTCTTCACCAACTTCAATTGTTTTTCTAGTAATTCCTCCCATAGTTTCATAATCTCCTTCATAATTGGTCTTATTTTCCAATTATAATTCTCCTTTGTCTTTTAAAAGTTCCTGTACAGAACTTCAAAATCCATTTCCATAATTACCTTTTGAAATTTTCTAACAGTTACCAACTCTAAACCTTGTCTAACTGCAATTGCCTTTAATGTTAGAGCTGGACCCATTTTTACTTATTTTCTAATCCTCTTAACCATGTTCCCTCTTTCATCCCTTATCACTATTCCAATCCCTGCCTTTCTAGTATTTTCTATAAATGCTCCATCATAATTTATCTTCAGCCATCCCATTTTTGGACATGGCTATTCCTCTTCCTTTTTTATTTTATTTTCCTCCACTGTTCTTAAGTCTTATGCTGCTATTCTTATGCCATACCATATTTTACAATAGTTCCATTGGCTCTATGTATTGCTATATGCAGTATCAGCTCTTTTTCGCCTACCAGCACTTCACATCTTGTTTTCCAAATCATCCAGCAAGTATATGCCATGCACATTCTTATGTTTATGTTGTCCCTGTTCCATTTTTTCAGTTGTTCCACCATTTGCACCAACCATCTATCAAACGTTATAACTTTATCTTTTCTTATTCTTAGGCCATAGCATACCCCAAACCACATTCCCCTTGTCTAATCGCATTGTAACAGTATATGCTCTACTATCTCGTCCTCTATCCCACATAGGTTACATATAAAGGACTGTTTACACTTTCATTTCCATAGGTTATAATTTGTTGGAATTGCATCTATATAGACCTTCTATAAAAACACTTTGATTTTACTTGGAACTTTCAATCTCTATATTAGTTTCAAAACTTTTTCATTAACCACATGTAAGCTAGAGGTTCTTGTCTCTTGCTTGTAATGTGCTGTTTTTTTCAATATTCTATACCTTGATTTAACTATATATGACCCTTTTCTCCTCTTTAGCCTATACCACTTCATCATTATAGTTTTGATCCCCTATAAGAATTTCCTTTATTACTTCTTTCTCTTCCCTACTTATCTATGGCTCAATCTTTTCCAAAACCCATTCCTTTTTTTCATAGTTTATTAACTCCCCCACTTTTCACTAGCATTTTTTATCCCCTTTTCCTAAACTTTGCAACTTTTTTCCTTTCAATCCAAGGATCCAACAATAACTCCATATCCCAATACTCTACCCATTTCCTACTTGCCACATCAAAATTTCCCTTAGATAGTCTCTACCATCAACTATGCTAGTCCATACCCAAGATGTTCATGCTCTTTTTGTAGTTTCCAAAATTGAGCTTTGAGGAAAATAGATCCCTTTGAAAATCTTTGCCTATAGTGCATTTGAGCTCTTTAGCATTCTTCAACTTTTTTTTACCAACAATGCCTGGTTGAACAATTCCAGATCCTTAAACCCTATACCACCATCCCTTTTTAACTTTGTAAGCTTGTTTCAACTTTCCAATGAATTTTATTGTCATTGATCCTTTGCCCACACCAAAACTTTGCAACCATAGAATTCATTTCCTCATATATCTTTTTTGAAAACTTATAATAGGACATTGTGTAAGTGGAAATTGCATATGCAACTGCTTTAATTAATATCTTTTTACCTCTCATGGACAAGGTTTTTTGCTTTCATCCATTGAGCTTTGCCATCACCCTTTCCTTAATGTGCTTTAATACCT